AAAATATATATAAAATATATATATATATATATATATATATATATATATATATATTAATTTGATAAAGGATTCACAAGTTCTCGCAATTACTTTGTCTTTGTTCTTTGTTTCGCCCAATCGACTCTCCCAATCCTTGAAAGCATTTTATCTTCCCAGTGTCTGGTACAGGATATGCGCTTTTCCGTAAGAAAATAAACGCACATTGTCAAACGATCTCGGACCGTCTAAACAAAAATTCGAAAAAAAAAAAAAAACAAATAAAAAGGCGTCTTTCTTACCGGTAAACGCTCACGAGTTGCCTCTCGTGGACGACGTCCCGCGTCCCTGCTCAGTAATTTTTCCAACTGCGCAATAATCACAGTATCCAGGGCAGAGCGGTGGTGGGGACGACGACGGTGACGACGCGGTGGGATAAGTGCGGTGGGGCACCCCGGGGACCTGTTAGCGCGATGCTACCTCGCCTCAAGTTCCTCTTCTCTCGCGGTCCTCCCAGTGCGCGTTCCCCGCAAATTCGACCACATCCGGTGACCGTTAGCCACCTTAGCTCAGTATCCTTCTTCCTCCTACTTCCGCCTTCACCTCACGCGGCCTACTCTCTGATGCGGAAACAGAAAAGCGGTACGTTCCGCTCGCTCCCCAGCACGACAATAACGACTCCTCTCTATCCAAAATGGCGGACTTCGGGCCGTTGTTTATTTGTCTTCTCGCAGCTCTTCTTTACGGCACTGCCAGATCGAATTGGATTACCCTGGCCGAGTTTGTCTCGCCGTTGCGTTTCCCGCACGTCTCCACGCCAAAACTCTCAGGAACTCAAGTCCTCTCGCCGCGGGCGAGATCCGTCTGAGGGACGTGTATGTATGTACAACGCACCGCTACGCTACGTGTCTCGGGAAGCACCGTATCCGTATGCTTGCACTCCGCGTGCTCTCAATACTTTTCTTTCTTCTTTGTCGTCGTGGCCGTTGCGTTAGTTTCCTTCTCCGCTTCCTCGTTCCAGCTTGATCCAATCTGGTTCAATCACACAAATAACAGTCACTCCGCAATCGGAAATCAGGCTCGCGTTCTCTCCAGCATCTCTACGAGTTCTACGTTCTAGAACACTCCTCAAATCACAAACACTGATTGGAGAATTCCGCTTGCGTCTTTATAACCTATCGCGAGGAGAGCCACTATCCCCTCCGCGCGTTCGACCAATCAGCGCGCGCGTTACTTTCCCATTCCATTTCGTGCCTGCGGCACCTGCGCCAACCTAAAGGTACAATTTCATGGTGTCGCTTGTCGCAGCGATAATGACTCCTGCACACGGAACGCGGAAACGTTTGCCACGCGATGGAAGTTGGCGTAGCCAATCAACATCTCGCTTACTCGAAAGTAATAGATACATAATTTTCACCGCACACAAAAAGAAGTTGAACTCCAACTTTTACCGCGCGGCGGAAGTAATAATACATTTTTAGAAGTTTTGCATAGTGAGGCTGACTTAAGAACATAGAATTATTGGTTAGTGCGACAATTTCCGCCGCGCGGAAAAATTATATTTTAATGTAAAATAATTATTATATTATACGCGTTTCGAATTTCACAGATTTTTTTCTAATTTTGAGCTATATATACAGGGTATTGGTTAAGTATATTGCCTCTTGTCGTACGGAGCTAACTTCAACTTTCTGCGATTGCGATAGGTGTGTCGCATGAGCTCAGCCAATCACAATACAGAAAGTTGACGTTTAGAATTTGTTGTCGAATTGCGTGTAAACAATCGTTGTGACTATTGTAGACGCTCATTTAGCGACACTCTTGCATGCGACAAATTTTCCTGCGATGCTACTACTCGCGACATGCGACACAACCTGTGCGACTATTGTAGACGAGGCTATAGATTGGCTGTCGCAACAAATTTGCGATCGGCTTGCAACTAATGTAGAACCAGCTTAAAGATGATCATACGGTGATGAAATTACACGATGCGGAATAGAACTGCGGAATAGAGAATGCGTTATTGAAGCAACCAATCAGCGCTATTCTGCACTTTTCTATTACGCAAGTTTTGCGTGCTATGTTCACATGGTGCGTCAAAGACGCATCCAGGTTGAATATAATTTAAACACTACTAACTTTATGTTAATAATTTGCTTATTAAAATGAAATATAATTTAATTAAATATAATTAAATTGTAAAAACAATTATCACTGTTGTAGTATATTTAATGTTTTACAATTAATATTTACAATCCCATAACAATTTGTTTAATTGCTTTAATGCATGCTACACCATTTTTTCGCATCGTATGAACATAGCACATAAAACTTGATGGAAAAGTGCGGAAAAAGGCACATTGAAATCGCATGTAAGGCATCATTGTTTTTTTGATCTTGGTATTTATATTTATGCACTCAGATTTTGTCATTTTGTTTCATTCGTCTCGACATTACGCAATTTCATCATATCAATCAGCATCAGATTATTTTAACCTCTTACAATATGACGCAATTTATCACAAGACAATGACGCACTCGCTATTCCGCAGTATCAAATGCAGAATAGCGCTGATTAGTTGCTTCTATAATGTATTCTTTATTCCGCAATCGTTTTCCGCACCATCTGATTTAGGATGAAATCACACGAAGAAATCTGTATAAATAGAGATACTAAGATAATGCATAAGAAAATGTACCAATCAAAGTGCTTTATTTTCTTCTTTACTATGAAATAAAGAACTTTAATTGATTGGATTTCTTATGTCTTATGTGTTATGCATTATGCAAAAGGCTTCCCCCTTTACGCAGGATTCGCTGCATGGGACATAAGAAACAAAATTGTCGCGTTTGTAAAACGACTGAACGTGATTGTAGTTGTAAGAATTGACCAATCACAGTCAAATATTCTCCTTATATTCGACTTGATTGGTCAATTCTTACAACTACAACCACTTACAACTACATTTACGACTATTGTAGAATAGGCTTTACAGTCGAACAACAGAGGAATGCTCGAAGGCTACGTTCGGAAATATCATCCGAATATCATTTTATCCTTATTATTCACACAATGACTGCGTTCAGCGGACTCAACAGTTAAATAAGCGCTCGCTGTTATTGGTGTATTCTTTTAGATTATCCAATTAGCATTTTAAATCATGAAGAATATTATTAATAGCAGCGAGCGCTCACTCAACTGTTGAGTTCGCTGAACACAGCCAATGGCCTGATTTCCACTGAGGGTTTAAACCGGATCAGAACATAAGAACCAACTACAGTCGAGTATTCCCTTGTTACAATCGAACGACAGGGGAATGCTCGACTGTAGTTGGTTGATTCTTACATTCTGATCCGAACTAAATCTTCGGTGGAAATTAGACCAATGTTAAATAAGCATAAGATACACGGGCACACCCGGATGATATTTTCGAACGCAGTCTAGGAGAGGATATCTCTATTGTCTAGTAGTTTACATCGTGCACTTGATACGGGTACTAACTAGTAACTTTCTATTGAATAATCTTAATTTCAGCGATACGTATAAACATATATACGATATGTGTATTTAATTAATTATTTTGATGCATATTGTACCAATTTAGTATATCATTCTTTGAATACATCACTGAAATTAAAATAATTTAATAGAAAGTTACTAGTTAGTACGTGTGCACATCTATCAAGTGCACATATAAACTAGACAATTATCTCTTAATAATTCGAAAGGTATATGTATGCACATACTTAAGTAGTTTCGTCGGTCCATTTGTTGCTCCTGAAGTTAGTGGTTTGTGCAGTTGAAGTGTTGAGGTGCTTTAAATCTATTGCAGTCGCAAACAAAACGTCAACAAACTATTAAATAACCTTCACATTATCTCATCATCTTTTTGTCAATTTTCGTCTCGTTAGCTTTGTCGTACATATTCGCAAAGTTTGATTTTAACACTACTCTTATTTATTACTAGGTATATACTTATTCTCTATAATTTGAAGGATATTTTCTAAAAATATTATTTGCACAACAATTTTATAATGTTTGTTCTTCAATCTTACAGAATTGTGCAAAGTTATGAACAAAGATGTTTTTCATAACCTACTGATTCAAAGTCAACAATGTTTATCAATGGAAGAACGGACTTTTTTAACAAACGCGATATATGATATGGATACCTTCCATTCCATGATAGACATTATTTTGAATAAAGAAAACAATAATATTCAAAACTGTTTGAATATTAGAAACAATCCAGGACCGTCTACAGAAGAAATTCCATCGGAGATGGATCATAGTACTGATTGTGTTTCTGAACGACCGGAAATGCCACATCCTTTTGTGGAGAATATAAATGCCAAAGTGTTTAACAATCCAGGATCATCCACCATGGAAATTCAGTCGGAAATAGATCATAATGCTGATCAAGTTTCTGAACAACTTAAAACTCTGAATTCTCTTATGGAATGCATAAATTCAGCAGAAATATTTGATAACTCAAAACTAGCCACCTCGGAAATTCAATCAAAGATATCTGTTAGTATTGATAACATTTCTGAGCAATCTGGAACGTCAAATTTTTTAGAATGTATAAATGCTGAGTTTGGTAACCCAGCATCATCTACCATGAAAATTCAATCGGAAATGTGTCATACTGCCGATAATCCAGTATCTACCATAGAAATTAAATCAGAAATATGTAATACTAATGATCCAGAAACATTTGTGGAAATTCAGTCAGAGATATGTAATACTAATGATCCAGAATCACTTGTGGAAATTCAGTCAGAAATATGTAATACTAATGATCCAGAATCACTTGTGGAAATTCAGTCAGTGCACTACAGTAAATGCCATAGTGCTGATAAAATATATAAACAACTTGAAATGCCGACTTCCATGGACATAAGTGTAGATCTACCACTATCACCAAAACCATCTACCTCCATGGAAAATCTACCAGATATACAAGATAGTGCTAAGAAAGTTTTTAAACAACCTAAAGCATTAGATTTTTCTAGGAAACACCCAAGTGCTGAAGTAATTGATGTCTCATCTGATTCTGATACCGATTCTTCTGTTGATTCTTCTGAGAATTTTTTTGAGAATTCTAATGATTCTTACGATGATATTTCAATTATCAATACTGTAAATAAAACAAATATTGATGAACCTATATCTTCATGTTCTACTTCTCAGCTGAATGGTAATAATAATAATACATCATTGACAAACGAAATTCATGTTCTAACTACTGGCAGTGGCAGACAAGCTACAGATGTTAACAATAAGATCCAAGATAGGCCTAAAGAAGATATTGAGGAAAATAATAATGATGTTTTATTCGTAAAGAGGAAACGATTAAATAAGTCAAGACCAGGGTGCAGTAAAGATTCTGAAAACACATTCCTTGAGATGAAAGATTTCTACAATTCGTCCAATATGGATGAATTACTAAAGGATGCAAAATTAATACATGCTCTTCTACCTTCTTCTAGATATAGTTACCATTTGATTTATAGAATGCTTAGTAGTAATCGATTTGCAAGAAATCGTATTGAGCTTACACTGTGGGACTTATTACCAACAGAAAGACCGTTACCACAATATTTAAAGAGACGAAAATGTTCAGATGAAATAAATTTTATAGAACATAAAAAGAAGTCCCATATTTCTCTACAAGAAGATCAGATAGACACAAATACAGCTTTGGGAAAAAAAGAACAGTTGTGTGCGAAAAACGAGATAATTGCTGATAACAGAAAATCAGAAAATATAGCATTTGTATCATCAACAGGTGAGAATGATGAAATGATAGAGAATATGTCAGAAGTAGCAGCTTCAAATAATACGAATAATATCAACCAAAGCACAATACCTTTGAAAAAAGCAAAGCTAAATCATAAATCGGATGAATCTACTACATCCGTTAAAGATGGTAGCAATACTAGCAATATTAACATTGTTCCAAATTCAAAGATATTCACGTCATCAGAAGTTGGTACAGAGAGCAAAGAATTGCATTCGATTGATAATTCGGAAGTTAAAAAAACATATGAATCTGATAGGCATTCAGAACTTTATAAAGTTCATAAAGTTGTGGCACCGGCAAAGTTAACGCTTCAAAGTAATTTCACGACACCAAAAGGTGAAAAATTTCATAAACCGACAACTCCTGTTTTATCACCGCCAAAATTAAAAATTCTTACTAAAAATACAATATCTACAATGTCACCAATAGCTGTTTCTATACCTATATGCTCTATACCTAAAAAGGAACCTACTAATATAATGAAACAGAATAAACCAATAATTGTTCATCCAAATCTAAATGAACCAATAATTCTTCATCCAAATTTAAATTCATCCATAAGCCAATATCCAGGAGAAAGGTTTACTACCTGTCCTAATGTAATAAAGCAGAATGAACAGATCGCTCATGTAATAAAGCAGAATGAACAGATCGCTCATGTAATAAAGCAGAATGAACAGATCGCTCATGTAATAAAGCAGAATGAACAGATCGCTCATGTAATAAAGCAGAATGAACAGATCGCTCATGTAATAAAGCAGAATGAACAGATCGCTCATGTAATAAAGCAGAATGAACAGATCGCTCATGTAATAAAGCAGAATGAACAGATCGCTCATGTAATAAAGCAGAATGAACAGATCGCTCATGTAATAAAGCAGAATGAACAGATCGCTCATGTGTTTCATCTAAATTCAAGTATATTTGCACCGACTTCTACGTTACCAGGCACGTCATCAAATGACAAAAAAGCATCTGATATGCATGTTGTACCTCTACCACACTCAATGTGTCAATCGATTAATCGGGTACAAATAGAACCTCAAATAGAACCATATGTATCAACAGAAAAAGATAGCACTAAAGTAGCTAACGTTCTTACTACAAAGACATTAATAACACCTGCAACAATAAATACTGCATCGACTTCAATAGCTCCTGCTCAAAGTACCTCACGTCTCCAAAAAGCAAGCAGTAGCAATATGACTACTCAAGTTAACGACAAAAGCTTAAAGGTAAAAACGTGTGTCCTGCTGTAACTGCATTTAAAATACTTAAAGAACATCTCCCTCAATACATTTTGTATAGGTTAAATTTATTTAATGTTAGAAACCGGCTATATATTGCGCGTGTATTTCATTTCCATTATATTTTCAAGAAACGAGAACATATATCGAAATTTTTTCAAAAAATATTTTAGATGCAGTTATAGTAAGATACTTTGCTGTTACATTTTCAGACATACTGCTCAGCCATGAGGATAATGTTTACTTTCTTGTGTTGTGATTTTTTTCTCATACATTCTTATCTAATCTTTATATATATCGTTTTCGCAATTATCATTATTTGAGTAATGTTCCGGTGGAACTCGATAGCTCTTCTGGCTAAGATTCTAGCTTCAAATTATTACTTTTTTATAGTGCTCTTAAAAAGGTCATCAAAACGATTAGGTGGAAACATTTTCCTTCTGCCAGAAAACTGGAGATTCTTCAAAAAGCCTGAGCTTTTCAGCTCTCTGACTGAAAACCAGAAAGGTGTTGACTGTAATTGTATTTACCATTGATTTTCATAAAAATTTTTGTAAACATTTTTCCACGTACATATTAATCCTAATCTTTAATACACTCTAGGTCATTCGTGTCCTGTGCATTTCTTTTTTTTTTCTTTTTTGAAATATTAGAGCACCTGGTCAAGTACCGGTCTCTTTTCTATTCCTAAAAAACGTTTAGTATCTAAAGAACAAGTTTCGTACATTACTGGCCTCAATTCGTGCGTATTTTTTAATTGGCATAACTTCGAAGTTCATGACTTCTGAGTCATAAATGATCCAATAAACAGAGTGTACAGAGTGTACATTTTTTGTAACTAAAAATTTTTATTTTTTTTCTTTATTTTTAACTAATTCTCGATTGTATTGCGGGAATATTTCACGAATTATTAAAAAAAGAACTTAAAACAACATATTAGCTCTTAATAAACGCGATTTTTTATATCCTTGTTCTAAATGTCAATAATATTATATATTATCCTATCTGTAATGTTATAAAGAACATTTTCTTAATAAATTATAAGTTTTTTTAACACAATAGCAAATAATAAAATGGATTGTTTAAAATGTAAATGCAATATATCTTTAATGTATAGCCATTCATGCATATTAAAAAACATTATTTTCAGGATACTCAATAACTAAATTTTTTAGACAGTCGACATTTGAACTATTTTTTTTTTGTAGTTTGGAATATCAATTTTAAGATATTAAACTATATTTTTCCTTTAAACATTTTTGTTTCAGAGTGTTTACATTTTTACATGAAATGCGTTTTTCTCATTTCGTTATATTATTAATTATATTTAGTTACAACAATTTATCTACAATTTGTTACGAATATATAACTGCACAAATACTTTCTAAAGATGTCAAAATATATGTAAAAATCATTTAATAACTCATATTTATATATATTTGTAAAAGTAATGAAAATTAATTCAAGACATGAATGATCGAACGTGTATATTAAGGATGCCAAAAACTAAAGTGTGTACTAAAGATTAATCGATCTCTTCCAATTCTATATTTTAAAATTATAAAAACCAAGAGTCAGGTATTATAATGATTAGAAAGATATAAAGATTTAAATTTTCACTTTTGCTTTTGTGAATTTCTTTTATAAAGGGCCGTTTTATAAGCTCTTGCAAACTTGTAATATATTTCTTTATGTTTTAAATCAGAGTTGTCCAGGACTGTGTACTTTTGATTTGAAATTAAAATATTATATTATATAAGTCGGTATTCGTATCTGTTACCGTTCCTGCTCGTCACTTTATTGCAGGTTTGGCAAAGATTAATGTTTTTTTTTTTAAGAGTAAATTATTATGTTTTTTCTTAAATATGTTTTTAATGCTTTAAACATGCTTTAAACAGTATTATAAAAAAAACATATTTAAAACATATTAAAAACATTAATTAAGCATATTTAAAACATATTTCTTACCAATCCTATTCATTGCTGTTTTATCGTAGCATGCGATGCTCGGTCTCAGGGATCACATTAGTCTGAAAAAGTTTTTGATTTATGTCATTCATTATATATATATGTTTAAAAGAATTCTGTTACTAATATTATAAGATACTACTATTCATAATATATTTAACTATACATGAATTTTATATATACATTATATATAATATTAGTAACAGAATACTTTTAAACAACGACAGTTAACGAACGACATAGGTCACTTTTTAACGATTTCTAGTGTCACCTCTAAGACCAAGCACCGAGCGCTATGAAAATAGTAATGAAGTAGGGACGATAATAGGCATGAATACTGACACATTTTAATTTCAAGCCAAAAGTATCCAATCCTGAATAAGGTACCTATCATGAAACATGAATTCCGATCGGAATTATTCCGTTTTTCCTAGAAAACACAATTGACATTTAGAGAATAATTGAATAATTTCGATCGGAATCCATTCCGATTTGTTCCATGATAGGTGTCCAGCATTGTTTTAAGTGAACAGATATAGAGAAAAACTTCCTATTTCATCATATTTCATCTCGTCTTATAATATTTAAATATAGTGAAAGACATAGGTCAAAAATTGCCAGTTTATCTTCTTTTTCTTTCCTCTTGAAGAGAAAAGGAAAAAAAAGATGAACTGATGCAAAAATTCAGCTAAAAAGAATAAGCCTTCATGCTTGTAATCAGTAACGGATTATATACGAGACGCATGCCTCAGGGTTGGTCCTCAGGGAGTCCTGTGGCTCGTGTACTCGTTGATCCCCAGCTTGTGCGTGCGCCATGCATATCGTTATTTGTCAGTCATAACCAGAGAATGGAAGTAACTCGTTACTTATAACGAAGTTACAGTTATAAGTTACTTTTTTTAGTAACTGTAATGATAACGAAGTTACATTTTTTTTTTTATAATAGTAACGAATTTTACAGTTATCTTTATCATTACTCTGCGCATGATTGGACACGATACGACACAAGTCACTCACACTGTAAAATTTTCGTAAATTTACATATATAATAAATGTAAAAATTACATGATTAATCCTGTAAATATAAAAAATCGTAGAATTTTACAGAAATTATGTAATTCCACAAAAATTATGTAAATTTGCTTTTATTGTGTAAATATTACATAATTTCTGTGAAATTGCATGATTTTTTTCTAAAATAAGATGTTATTTTATATGGAAAATTACGTAAATAGTAGGATGTTTTGAATATTTTTTGTAATTATTCAAATTTTAGTAATATTATGTAATATAACAGTAATTTTTCGCGTATTGCTATTAAGTATATAATAATAGATCTGTTTTCTGTGGTTAAACAAGTGTACACTTAAAGTGAGATAGATATACATTTGATATTTATCGAAAGTCGAAATCGAGAAAGAGAGTTCTAGAAGAGTCTAGTGCAGGAACAGAAAACAGTCCAAATATATAGTGCGAAATGTGCATGTATTGTCATATTATCGTTTCTATAACTGCACATATAATTGTACTTATGTGTAACTACACATTGTAATTGTACTTCCGCAATCTGTTTAGTTATAAACTAAGAAATTATTTTATTTCCATATTGCAAATTTACAAACGCGTGGACGTTTATAACTATTATAGTGGTCTTAAAATTACTCACTATATAATAGTTTTAATTTTACACAAAAATTTTTTACAATGCATAGCACTTGAGACTAGAAAACCTCTAAGCTTATCCGCTGTGATTGGCAGTCGTCGATTTTAAAAAAGTAACGGAAAAGTAACGAAAAGTTACTTTCTCAAGTAACGAGTAACTGTAACTTGTTACTTTTAAAAAGTAACTTTCCATTCCCTGGTCATAACCTATATACTATAGGTTTTTTATTGCTGTACTCTGAACTGGTGCACATGGTGCAATAAGTTAAAGTGAAATAAACGTATATTTGTTTCACTTTGGCCTGTTCCTGCACTAGATTGTTCTACAACTCTCTTTCTTGCTTTAAAAAAATATCAAAACAAATATCAATATGAAATAATCTATGCTTCTATATCAGTGAAAATTGTTGCTGAAGTATAAATGTTAAACTATACAATAATAAAAAAGACAATCGGAATAAACATCGAGCCTGTTTCTGTGATGCTTGATTCCAACTATCCGAAGATGAGTTCTAGGTACAATGCATCGTATGCTCCTTTTGCGCGCACACTGGCTGTATCTTAAAAACATTAAATACAGTTCTTTTATTGCAATATTGATGTACTTTGCGTTTTATTATCGATTTCTCGAGGCATCTCATATTAAGACCACAATTTTTTGATTTTGCGATTTGCTCACTTTTTACATTCTTTAATTTTCAAAAAAAAAGTTGGAATTAAATTTTACATCACATTATCTTAAATCTTATTAAATTCCCTTCAAAATGACCTATTATTTTTTTTAATTCTGCTTATAGATTGCTAGCATTTACTCAAAATGAATTCCGTGTCTCATAATAGGAGTCTTTTCTCTATAGTTTCAGTTTTATTATATTAACGATAAGATATAGAGATAAGAACAAAGATAAACATTAATTAACTATTTTCTTTTTAGCAACTGTTACCGATACTAACTCCATCAAAACTCATTCCAATGTACGATCCAGATAAAATGAATTGTAAAGTAGAGCAACTGGAAAAAAAAGATGCAATAGGAATTAAAAAAATTAAAATACATACATACATGGACAAAATGGAAGAAGTAACAAACAATGCTGAGCAAAAAGAAAAAGAAAAATCAAATGAGAAAGCTACTAAAATATTTGCCAAATTAATACCTATGTTTCCAACTGTAAAAACTAGTTTTATTAAGAAATTATGCTATGACATGAAACATGATGCGAGAGATGAAGTAACAATAGCTGCTGCTTTAGTCGAGATGCTACTCAACTGTGACCAAAAAAATTTATCGGTTGAACAAGTGAAGCCAATAGAGCCACAGGCAACAACTTCGAAATTTTATGATATGAACGAACAATATGCGGATTTGCTAATGATATTTCCTGAAGCAGATCCTGTATATTTAAGAAAAGTAGCTGAGGATATATATAGTGATCCCGAACGGATAAAAGAATTTGTTCAGTCAAAATTAGAAGATCCTAATTATCCAACGCGAGCGCAATATCTGGCTAAACAAAAGATTACTCAACAACAAAAACAGTATACTACGGATTTCCAAGTAAAACAATTCTTAGAGATATTTCCAGATCCATTTGCGTACTTCGAAGATGATAAGAGGAAATGCGAATTCAATCCGCATGCAATAGATTTTCTCAAATATTACTTCAGTAAAATGAGGGTATGCTTAATTTAAGATACAATTAAGACATTTTTTTAATCCATAATTATAATTTTTTAAATGGATTTTCGGCGGTATTGGATTACAGTATCATGATTTAAAGTTTTGAGTGTATTATTATATTTCTTTATGAAGCTCAATAACCTGATATATTATTAAGTTACTTTAAATTTATTTTTATTTATGATTTTGATTATCTTTATCGTAATGAAATTATAATAATTTTTCTACTTAAAATAATATATATATATACATG